GTATTTTAAAAAGTAGAATATGAGAAGTGTTTTTGTTTAAAACTTCATAATTTAAAAGGAATTTTTAAATTTTTTTTAACTAAACGGACCTTTCGCAATATCGATTTTCTTTAAAATTTATCATCGAGTGGAATCGAACAAATAAAATTCAAATAATCTTCGATTTAGCGCCAACGTTCGTCCGCCTTTGAAAGTGTACGTAAGTCGAGTAAATTACCAGGAAAATGTCCTCCCTCGACATATCGCGTACGTGTCTCGTTCCCGTATGGGAACAAAGCCAAAAATAATTCACGCTTCCTTGTAAAGAGCCCATGAATACTTGTGTAGGGATGTTTTTACTTTGTGTAGGGATCATAGAGGAACCCTTCACTGTCTGCGAATTACTACTCCCAAATTCAAACTTTTATAAAACTAGTTACTATATATAGGCCTATAAATCAGTTTAGCATATCATTAAATTCAGTGCTAATTTAAAAGACGAACAACATGGCGCTAATTCGAGGTTTGACCGTAAATACATTATTCAGTTTACCACTGGCTTCGTGTTAAAGAAGTCATACTTAATTTAGTGCCAATTTCACAGCAGAACAATGTGACGTTAAATCGAGGTTTGACGAAAATACATTACTTAATCTACCATTGGCTTCGTGTCGCCTCGTATGACGTTGAAGAAGTCAATTTTTTCGGTTAAAATAACAGAAGTTTGAAGATTTAGACTTCGAATCTTTAGAATGAAGAAATTTTTATTATTTTCCCTAAAGTAATATAATTTTAAAAAATCCATGATAAATCAAACCTTAACTGCGTTTTATATTGCTAATAGTTAATCTTATTGCTGGAAGCTTTAATGTTGCAGTTAAAAGCTTCTGAATTCCTCTAATTGCTTTAATCCTATCAACAATTACATTAAATACTTAAAATTCAAAAATATATTGTTGTGATCATCAAAATTCTATAACAAAAAGTAGATATTATCAAATAAAATGGCCTCTATTATTTATAATCTTCTAGTTTATGAAGATTTGTTGCTGGAAGATTGTTACTATCCATTAAGTAATTAGGTTAAAATTCAGTTAATTAATAGGCAATTCTCATTTAGTATCTAAGAATTAATTTAATTTGATGTAAATATAATTTAAAATTTTATAACATAGCTTTAAATAATCAACATCATCCTTCAAAAAATCTGTTTACTTTCCCCAGAAGGGAAAGTAAAGAGGGAAAGTATGGATCCCTTCCAAGAGTTTTACACCTTTGGACAAACTCAGGAGACCTTAAAACGTCGAGAAATACAAAAGGTGGGGGTTTCTGTATGTAGGTTTGTGTATATGTATGGGGGGTTACGATCTTGTTCACCCACTTTGAAAGCTTAATAACTCCTGTGTCTTTTGTCGAAATTTTCAAAAATTTTGCAGGGAGGTTAGTGTATTAGAGGCGTTGTTGCTGTTAAATTTTGATGGTAGGTGGGAAGATAGAAAGGGGATCATTTATCATATCTCGAATAGGATCGGACTTAATGAAAGTTTACTCATTATTATCATTTACATTTTTTTAAAACTCATCTCATTCCTCAAAATTAAACTATTTGCCATTTTATAATAAATAATAATATAAAAAAGTGTTTTAATCAATCTCATAACAGATAGCTCCATACGCAGTTTTTACATTTACCGGGAAAGTTACTCAACTCGTTGCTGAAATTTTCAGGAAGGGGTTCGTGTTCAAGCACCTTATTTTACTATTCTTTTTAAATTATCTTCAATTATATTATTCCAATTATTTAAATATTATCCTCTTCTATTGTTATTGAGCATCTTGAAGAGATTTTGAAGATACTTCTTAAGAATATTTGGAAAAGATTAAATAAATTATCCATCGCATCACTTGAGATAAAGTTTTTCTTTCATATGTAGTACGTGTAGTTTAATAATATAAAATTATTTCCTCTTACAGTTAAATATAGATAAAATTTTAATGTATATTTAATGTTTATAACAACTATAAAGTTTTATTTAAGTACATTATTTATATAAAATATTATCTTTAAAATCGCATTATTCATCATCTTCTCTTCAACTTATCAGTAGATCAGCTGATATATTAAGGTCCTTACGTGTTTTTGTAATAATTTAAGCGGTTTTTTTATATAATTTTTCAGTTTATTTTTCATATAAGATCAATAAAGACTTATTTTATGATTCAAAACATAAAAGTACATCATCGTTTGGCTTTTGAACATCTGTTAAAACCATTTTATTCGTCTAATCGTTTGAAAAAACGTAAAAATATTTTAAAATTTTTTAAAAGAAAATTCTTTTGAATCTCTTCCATAAAATAAATTCCATTATTTTATTTATCCTTTCACTTAAATTCCATTGCTATTATGGGTAGAGCCTACTTAAAACTTTAGGCTGAAGAAAGGAAGAGCAAGAGGATGAAGGATAGTAAGAGGAGGAAGAAGATAATTACTCTAATTATAAAAAACTTTAATAAATAAAATGAAAATATTTGAAGAAAACTTAAAATTTCAGGATATAAACATATGCTATGAGTATTAATTAAATGATAAATAAATAATAATTAATAATTGATTAATCGTAATGTAGTAAGGTTTCTAACATTTAAATTATTAAGTTGAATGGATAAATTCAAAAAACTAATGTCGTGTAATTATAGATGTTGGTAATTTTAATAAATGAGAATATCGAATTTGTGAGTTAAATATGTTAAAAATATTTTTTAAAAATCATTTCGTTCTTGAATTCAATCAAAACTAATTGCTAATGTAAATTGGAGAGGTTGATAAATTGCAACGTATGTAAAATGATACTACTCGTTAATAATGCGAAAAAAATAAAAATAAGTTTAAGTAAAACGATTTGTTTTATATTATTAAACTATAAAAATTAAAGGTTTTATAATGTAATATCTAAGATTTAATAAAATTTGAAATTGCTTAGCGAATCTATAATCAACTGTGTGATCGCGAGCTACCGGTTAGAAAATGTTACACCGTCGATTTAATATAATTAACTTATGCTAAAAATATATTTAAAAAAATTATTTTTCTTAAATAAAATAAATAATTTTATTTAAATATTCAATTTTAATACAGAAAATAATTATATTTGTCCAATAATTTCTGAATTGAATACAGTCGAACCTCTCAACAACGGCCACTGTTTTAGGAACGTTTCTGTTTGAAATGGATACAAAATAATCTCCAAAATCTCCAAACAACGGCCATTTTTTATGTTGAGGTCAGTGGCCATTGTTCAGAGGTTTGACTGTGTTTTAACTTTATATTATCTAACGGAAACAAAATTTTGAAACTAAAATGTGAAAATGTATGTAATTAATTGCTAAACTTGTCATTTTACAAGAGTTTTGGGATAAGTTAATGATAATTTATAGACTATTATTTGATATTATCTTCACATTATTATTATTTTTATTCCTTTAGGCACATTATCTAACTTGTTTATTACATATCTTAACGAATAAAGATTTCCATTGGACAAAGTTGAAGACCATTGAGTGGGATGCAATCTACATTGTCCGCAATTCTGGTGAATCAAGTGAGTTTTTCTTTTACCTAAATATTACTTTATTTATCAATTTATAATCATTTTTCATGATCATCTGTAAAATTAACACGAATTTCACGTGTTTTAGTGTTTAAAACTTAAAAGAATCTCGAAATTTAGTCTCCAAGACTGGTAGTTGGTCGCCGGTTCGGGCATCGCCAACTACCAGTCTTGGAGACTGGTAGTTGGCGATGCCCGAATTTAATGCTGGTCGGGTGGAATTTTCCGGTTTTTATACGTATCTAACAGCTAAATAGGGGCCAATTTCCCGCGTTTTTTCTCGGGTGTCTAACACTTAAAATTGGGGATCTGTTTCTCTGTTTTTTCCACGTGTCTAACACTTAAATATAACCCGTTTTCAGGGTTTTCTGCGTGTCTAACATCTAGACAGGAGTCATTTTACACGGGTTTTTAAGTGTTAAACATTTTCCCGGTTATACAGTATTTTTCACCTAAAAGGGATTAGTTTCCCACAGAAAGTACAAACTAGGCATATTTACCGACGTATTGCGTTACTTCACCCCATTAATCCAATCCAATTCAGACGCAAACGGCGGCGTTAAATCGAAGTTTGACTGCATAAAATAAAGATAAATTTGAAATTTAATTAATCAGGCACCTTAAAAAGAATTTCAGGCTCCATAAATTTATTTTATTTACTTAAATGCAAATGAGAAAATCTTGTATAAACACTGGAACAGCACTCTAAAGAGTCTTAAACTTTATAATGCAGTGGTGATCTCTAGTGTACAACATAAATTTAAAGTCACCAAAATTAAAGATATTGATTTAATTAGAATTAATACTTCTTCATTAAGTTAGAGTAATTTAAATTTAACATTGATCAAATTTTAAAATGCTTAAATATTACTGGAATTAATCAGAGAGCGAGCGTCTTTAATCGATTAAACAATAGCAGCCTTAATTTAGTATTTTGTGTAATTATAAGTAATCTTGTTGTATCCAAGTGGGGGAATTAAACTGCATATAATTTATTCGTCTAAGTTAATATAATAATATAGGATCTAACCCAATTCAGGAATGTCTATCGATCTGCAAATTGCTCTTTGAATAACCTTTCATTTACTTTAGTACACCTGAAAGTGATGCTAGTTAGCAATTAGTGATTCATCTTGCATCATCAATTGATTTTTTTTTTTTTACTTTCCCTGCTGTTATATACAATGTAACAGAGGGAAAGTATGGCAATAGGTCAAAAAATGGCCTCCAACATTTTTATATTTTTGGACTCAAGAGACCATTAACGTCGAGAAATGCAAAAATGTTAGAGGTTTTTTTTTGTATGTGTGGGGGGCACGATTTTGTTTACCCACTTTACAGTTTAATAACTCCTGTGTCACTTGTCGGAAATTTGTGAAATTTTTCAGAGAGGTTTGATTATTAGGGGAAATTTTTTCCAGAAAATTTCAGGAAAATCAGAGCATTGGTTCGAAAGTTATGCTACCCCTAATATCGCTATAATCAATTCTTTCATAGCACCTATATATAAAACAGAGAAAGTAGACAATCGATCAAAACACGACCCCCAAAATTTACAAATTTTTGAACTTAGCGACCTTAAAACGTCGAGAAATGCAAAAAATTTAGTTATATTTTCTGTATGTATGGATGCTAGTGTGTGCTTAACGCCACTGAAATTACCATTAAATCGAGTTTGGCGTTAAACTAAAGAACCTTTAAGAAGAAGAATTCGAGTGTTTTAAAGTCACGTGACTAGGTCACTTTCAAGTCACGTGACTCGCGAACACTGATGTGTCACCTGATAATATAGTTTACAACGCAAAAGAAATCGTTGGTTCGGTAATTCACACGCTATTAAAGGGAAGATCCTATTTAATATTTATGGGAAGATCCGTTCACAGCGTTCATTGGCGCTTTACAAGGGTGGACGTAATTAGGATGACGTTATATCGAGGTATCGCTTTATTTTAAGTATTTTTAATAATTTTTTTAATTTAAAAAGAGTTCATTTATGAAAAAAGTTAAAAATTTAATAATATAATTTTAATTAAAAGATTATAACTTAATTTTAATTATTTTTAAAGCGATTTTCACGTTTGTAAGTTATATATTTGTCTTAGGAAATCAGCGAGAGTTATCAGCTGACAGCATCATTCCTGTACGCTTATTAAACTAAAAAGCCTAAGTACAGGCAGGAAAAGTGCATGTGCATTTCCTGTACTTAATCCCATATTTTTAACAATTTACAGAAAGAAAATCGGCGAAAAAGTTTTTAAAAAAATCCCTAAAATTCTCCATCTTTCGTGTCGACAAATAATTTTTTCACTTTCATTTCGCGGATTTATTTGAATTAAATTCGATTATTTATTTATTTATTTATCATTTTATTTATCACTTTGTTTTTTGTCGAGTGGAACAAATCTGAGAAGATTTATTTACTTATTTTTTTTTACTTTATTTTCTATTATTGAACTTTGAAGTTCTTTAGGAAACTTGGAAACAATTTGCTTTAAATTTCACGCCATTTTTTTACAATTCGTTCGGGGGAAGGGAATGTGTCATAAAATATAACTTTTTTCATCCGCGAGAAACCACGTGATGGGTGGTAGGGGGAGACTTTGCGGTATTTTGGCTAAGCTCCAACAGATCGGTAGGAACGACTGCTTAAGAAGTTTCCATGGTGACACTGGTCACGTGCTGTGGTACTATATTAAAACGTGGACGACACCCTCCCTCCCTCCGTGTCACCCCTCTATCTATTGTTTAATAAAATAAATTACACGTATTAGATTTGTTTAAAGCGACTTCTTAAGTGTTTTTTAATGTTAACCTAGGCCCTCACGTTTAGAAAGGCCCTTCCAATAATACGAATAACAATGCTGTTGAAATAACGTATAATTTTCGAGATTTTTTTTTCTTAAATAGTTGCAAGTATTTCGTCCGGCGCGTACAGACATCCGAACGTGCAAAATGTTATGTGCGATTCGTAAGTAACTGCAATATAATATAGTCAAACCCGTGAACAGCGGCCACTGATCGAAACATAAAAGTGCACATTGTTTGGATGATTTTTGTATTCGTTTTTGTTTCCGAAAAAATGGCCGCTATTTACAGGTGGCCATTATTAGGAGGTTATGTTATAGGGCATATACACTTGTTTACAGAAAGAAACGTTCGTGAATAATATCCGCTGTATTCAGATGGTCTTTATAGGAGGTTCCACTATCTAAAATAAGAAGCTCAAAAGACAGTTTAAGAAGAATTCCTCAAAATATTAACACGATTTAGTTTGAAAATTCTCGATTTTATACTTAAAAAAAAGAATAAATAAAATTTAACGCAACGTTTTTACTAAAATTGATTACAACAGTTGAGAAAATATATTGTGAATGAAAAAATGTCGAGCTACTTAAATCGTAAAACATTAAGAAAATTACTTTAGAAATCGATACAAAAATCCTGTTTTCCTTTTTTATTTTCCTTTATTTTATTTTATTTTATTTTTTTCGTCGCATCTCGAATCACAAAAATCTATTAAACTGCCCATGTTTTGGCAATTGCATCAATTGATAAAAGACCGTAAAAATAAAATTTGTAGAAATTTATCTCGATATAAAGAAATAATTATTCCTTTATCTAGTTTTATATAGTCTACTCGTAAATAAGCTGTTCGTCTGCCTGTCTGTCGGTGGTAAAGATTTTTATTTTTTTCTTTCTTCTTCTTTCTTCCGAAAGTATAAGACATTAAAACTTACAAATTATTTTCTACTCATTTCGCGAATTGCGAATACAGTAAAACCTGTTTAAAACGGAAACCTGCCTAAATGGCAAGAATTCTTTTGAACGCGGCTATTTTCTGTGTTAAAAGAAACCCGTTCGAAATGGAAATCTTCCATTTCGGTAAAGTGCCAGTCCGGTTTATGCAGGTTTTACTGTATTTCAAATTTGCGAAATTAATTCATTTTTTATTAAGTAATATTGTATCGGGATCTTCTTTCTTATGTAATTTTGCTGCTTTGCTTTGTTTGAATTCTGTACACTACGCTTCTATATCTTAATATATCCGAACCTGTTAACGACGGCCATTGACGGGAACATAAAAAATGGCCGTTGTTCGGAGGTTACTTTCTATGCAATTCTGTGTAAAAAAAGTCCTTGAAAAACGGACATTGCTTTAAGTTCCCGTTGTTTACAGGTTATTTTCAATGTAATTTTGTACCGAAAAAAGTTCCTGACGAAAGAAAGGTCGCTGTTTAGAGGTGGCCGTTGTTTAGAGGTTACTTTATATGCGTTTTTGTTTACAAAAAAGTTTCTGAAAAATTAGAGGTGGCCGTCATTGGACGGTTCGACCGTATTTGCATCATTAAATTGACAAAGAATTTCATCACGGTTAAACTTAAATATCTTTGTTAATTACTATTAAATTTATTAATAAAATACAATTAAAATTTCCCAATTGTTTTAATTACACTTTAACAAGGATTTGTACATTTTATTTAAGCAAATAGCGTTTAAATTTCAAATAAAATTAAATAAATAATGCAATTTTGACGTTTAAAACTGGAAGAAATTCGAAGTTTAAACGATAAAAAAAATAACATTTAAATTTTATTTGCTGAATTAAATTCGAAGAATATTCTAATTTTAAAGAATTTAGAAAGAAAGGATGACTATTTTGAAACTTTAAACCCTTTAAAAGTAGGAAAAATGTAGAGATAAACAGTAGAAAGTAGACTTAGAATAAATTTCCTAGCACACGAATACATTGAAAGTGATCAAATTCAGAAAGAAAAAATTAGAATTTCGCATCAGAAATAAGGAAAATCGATTGTAATATGCTCCAGAGATTCCAAAAAAAAGAATTAATAAGATCGATTTTCAAAAATTTCATGACATTTTGTGGCCACTGAATACCGGGGCACGTGATGTAGATTTAGGGAAACTTCATGGCAATTAATTTAAATTTCATAGCTCTAGAGATTCGGCTAACGAAATCGTGAGTCACATTCTTGAAATTTAATATAAAATTTAAAAGAAAGTTTAGGAAATTTAATCTAAAATTTCACGTAAAAAAGTCGTGAGATATATAAAGTTTAGTGTGAAACCTCCAATAACGGCCATTTCTAAATGGCGGACATTTTTAGGAACGTGTTTCTTTTTAAACAAAACAACAAAATGAATACGAAACAACTTTGAAACAACTGTTAACCTGTAAATAACGACCTCTTTCTGAACGAAAATGCATATGAAACAACCTTCAAACAACGGCCACTTTTGATCAGCGGCCATTTTTTCAGAAACGTTTCTCTTTCTGAACAAAAAGCATACAAAACAACCTTTAAATAACGGCCAATTAGAGCCTAAATATCGGCAATTGTTTTAGGAACATCTCTCTTAACAAAAAGAATACAAAACGACCTTGAAACAACGTTCACCTAAATAACGGCCATTTTTCAGGAACGTCTCTCATTTTGAACAAAAAACGCGTAAAAACAACCTTCAAACAACGGCCATTTTTTGCATTTTCGTCAGTGGCCGTCGTATAGAGGTTCGACCGTACTAAACTTTTTATTTTATCGTGAATATCAAAGACAGAGAGATAAAACCTATCGATATAAGCTCGTTGCGAATTTTTTTATGTTGAAACATAAGTAAAAATGAAAAAAATTACTTTCGTTTTGTTTTCTAAACCTTCAAGTTGCGAGGAAAAAAGGAAACAAAAATGTTCTTGCATTTTTATTTCAATTGGCTTTTCACGGATTTGAAATAAAAGTATTTGTTTGAAAATAATAAATTCACAAGAATGCTCCTGCATATGAAATTTTAAAGCTTCTGAAAATTTGATCCGCATCAAAATAAAAAGGAAAGGAAGTGATTCTCCCCTTTCTACACTACAAAATACAGAAAATTCAATCATTCGTATACATTTTAATGAAGCAGATACCGTTTTATTTATTTACTTTTTGCTTGAAAATATTTGATTTTTGACTATATTTAAATATGTAAATTTGTTTTTTTATTGAATACATTTGTTATGTCGTAAACACCTGAATTACCTGTATTCGATGCTGTCTAAAGCAGTATTTAGCGCTTCGAACGCCACGAAATTTGGTGTGGTGGCATCTCGGAATGCCAGGAAGACATTTCCATGAAAAAATAATTAGTACAGAAACTCGCCACCAAGGCGCTTTTGGCGCTGCGAGCCGTGGTAACTGGTGTGCCTTATCGATTGCGTATCGAAAATTTGTAGTAAAACTCGTAGACAGTGTCGCGCTGCACGTGTGAACGTCACAGAGGATCAATTGCTTTGGCCGTTGAACACTGTTCGTTGTCTTAGGAATATGGACCACATTGAACATTATCCTTTACATCAATAATGTCTCTGTATAGCTGTGTACATATAATGGCTTTGGTTTGTAGCTCCAAAAATGCAACGGTGGTGAGTCTTGGCACTAGTTTAACTCTTTTTATGAAAATATTTTCTGAGTGTCCTGAGATTCACAATACCAAATTTGACCTCATTTAGATCGCAAAATATGTCTGTAGACAGCGTTAGATAGGGGTACTTTGTTTACACAGGTGTCTTGAAATATTTTTTTTTGTGTATCGGTGCTGATATCAAATGTACTTTATTTAAAATTTAAATAATAATTCTACTAAAATAAAAATTATTCACGAAAACCTTTCATAGCCGAATATATTTAAATAAATGTAAAAATATGTAGCTAAATATGTTATATATTTAAAATATTTATGTCATAGTCGCTTATTTATGCATGAGAAAAGTTTTATATCGAATACTTTACATAATAGTTTCCTCTTCTTTGGATAATAAGAAGAAACTTCCGTGGCTGTCGTTCACAGGTTTGTCTGAACAGCGGCCAGTGATGGAAATATAATCTCCTAATAACGGACATTTTCAATTTCGTATGCATTTTTCTTTAAAGAAAAGCG